ACTCTTAAGTAGTTTTTACATAGAATAATCCTTTGTTTACTTGTAACATTTGGCTTCATCTTTCATTAGTCAACAGTGTACATGTGTATTATAAAACACAGGTGAATTCATCCTAATAGGTAAAACATTGAATCAATACTTCCAGCACTTTCTCCTTGAAAACATCTATCCACATCTTGGTCACACCCAGGACATACCTTTGGCTCACCCCTCTGTTACATGCTTCATCACAGATCCAATCAGAAGTATTAATAAAGTTTCCTCTACTGTATCTCCTTCAGAACTCCCAAGTATTTGAATTGTTGTCCTCTGCTGTTTTCTCATGGTGCGTCACAAATCTTCCCTCTTGAAGAGAGCAAATTGATGGCTATGAGAGAAACCACCCTCTGGAGTGCTCTCAAGGGGAAGGAAACCACATGGTTAGCTAGATAAAACAAATATCTGTTCATTGCCCTTCAAAGCAAACAAACAAAAACTCCCACATATATATTTAAAACTCTAATTTTGCAGCTCGGCATGTTTTCATGGAGAAGTATTTAAGTATAGTGAAGAGGGAAGAAATGGGTTCTGCTTCTTTCAGAAGTGCCATGTACCAGGCACCCTTTTAGGCCCCCGGAGGATACAGTGAGCAAGACACAAAAATCTTAGATTCTGCCCTGGGCAATTTTGCTCAGTGGTTAGAGTGTTGGCCCGCAGACCAAAGAACTATGGGCTTCCCGGTCAAGGGCACATATCTCAGGTGTGGGTTCGACCCCGGCAAGAGGCAACCAGCTGATGATATGTATCTCTCATGTTGATTTTTCTCCCTTCCACTCTCTCTAAAAATCAATAGAAAAATATTCCTGGGTGAGGATTTTAAAAAATACTTACATTCTGGTAAGGAGAGGCAGATGAGAATGTAGGCAAATGAGAATTTCAGGAACAAGAAAGTGTGATGGTTAGCAAATAATTTAAGGGAAGCATCATTTTTCTAATGTACATTTTTTTTAACCCTGACTACTTTGTGGGAAGAGATTGGAAAGGGGCATAGACTAATCTGTGTGGAGATGGTGGGAAATGGATAGAATTTAGAGAATCGAGGCAGGTAGCATAGAAAGAACTTGATAATGGGCTGGGTAAGGGAAAGGATGTATGGTGGGTGACTCCAAGGACTCTGACTTGAGCAAATGGATGGAAGGGATGCTATTAATTAGGATGGTAACAGAGTGGAGGAGTACTTTGGAGGCAGGAGGAAACCAAGGATTCGGTTCGGGACATGGTACATTTGAGATGCCTGACAAATAGCCAAGGGAAAGAAAAACCTTGAATGCATTTGCAAGATGAATTGGGAAAAGAAGTCAGAGCTGAGCTATGACTGTGGGTGTCATTGGCACATGGGAGCATCTGAAGCCACGGGAGTGGACGAGGTCACACAGGACTGAGGGAAGAGTGAAGCAGAAAAACTGTCCAGGACTAGCCCTGAGATACACCAGGCCTCCACAGGACCTGGAAGAGGATGTAGAACTGACAGATGAGCCTGAGCAGGAAAGGCGGTTAATTTTCTAGGAAAAGAAAATCACATTTCATGATCACAGACCACACAATCCTGGCCAAGAACTCCCAGCCGCAACCCCCAGTTGGCTCCAAAGAAGCTTCCACTCACGGGAGAAAATAAATGAGCTACAGGCGCATCTTCCCTGCAAAAGGGGGAGAAAGAGCTTCGTTCTGAACGGTGACTGCAGAACAAAATCGAGTGTGAAGCTACTACTGTGTTTCTAGAGCAGGGTTTGAAGTTCCTGAGACGAGCGTGAGAGCCTCAGAGATAAACTTTTCCATCCTGGTTCAGACGTGATTACCAGTAAGTGAGGACCTATCTTGCTTAACTGGCAGGTGCCTTGCCTTTTATGCTTTCTCTTGTGGGAAGTGACAGTGCTGCACCACAGAGTTTCTGTTTGGTCTCTGTGTTTGAAATTAAATGGGAAATTTAGATTTGATAAGAAAAGTAGCCTAGATGAGGGGCAGACTTACACTCCAGCCTTGGAAAAAGGAGCACAGACCAAACTCTGCAGCCTCAGTTATTTCACCGTGTGTGACGGTACTCCATCTCATAGGCATTACAGTGAGTCCCAGATGGGATGTTTGCAACTGTGCTGTGTTTGAATAGGTTAAAAGCAGAATAACATTTCAACTGTACATAGAACTAGAGGCCCGGTGCACGAAATTCGTGCATGGTGGGGGGGGGGGCATTGTCCCTCAGCCCAGCCTGCACCCTCTCCAATCTGGGACTGCTTGAGGAATGTCCAACTGCCCGTTTAGACCTGATCCTGGAATCCTGGCTCCCAACCGCTCACCTGCCTCTGCCTGATTGCCCCTAACTATTTCTGCCTGCCAGTCTGATCACCCCCTAACCACTCCCCTGCCAGCCTAACTACTTCATGTTGTCCTGATTGTCCCTAACTGCCTTTCCTGCTGGTCTGATTGCCCGCAACTGCCCTCCCCTGCAGGCCTGGCCCCACCCAACTGTCCTCCACTACAGGCCTGGCCCCACCCAACTGCCCTCCTCTGTAGGCCTGATCCCCCTTAACTTCTCTCCCCTACAGTCCTGGGTCCCTGCCCTCCCTTGCCAGTCTGGTCACCCCCAACTGCCCTTCTCTGCTGGCCTGGTCACCCCTAACTGCCCACAACTGCTCTCCCCTGCAGGCCATCTTATGTCCACAGAAGGGCAGCCATCTTGTGTTTTGGAGTGTTGGTCAATTTGTATATTACTCTTTTATTAGATAGGATAAATACCTGAAATCCTGTGTATTTGAAAATTTGGGGCTATTCCTTTCTGTATAAATCAGGTTTATTTACTTGTTGAGGTCCATATCATAAGTTCAATAATGGAAAACAGTCCCTGGTCTTAAGATGGTAATATTAACTTCTAAGCAAAGTATTGACGACATAGCTGAAAGTATAAAATACTTGAATTGCTGCCCTGGCCAGCATGGCTCAGTTGGTTGGGTGTCATCCTGAGCACTGAAAGACTGCTGATTCCATTTCCATTTCCTTAGCTATCAGGTCTCAGGTGTCAGTTAACCCATATGCTCTTTTACCAAACCATCGAAACATAGGAAAAGAAATGGACTACTTGCTTAAATGATGAAAGCATTAAAAAGCTTGGAAACCTTCACAAAGTTGCCTGTTTCTCATGCTTTTTCACTTTCCTTTTCTTTCTCAAAACATGTTTCATTTCTTCTTCTGCAGTTTCAGTTCAGTTTTCAGAAGTTCTAATATTAACATTTGTTTGAGGATACTATTAATAGCTCTAATCCAGTCGAGCTGCTCTTTCACAGTGGATGGCCCTGCATATTTAGGAATAATGTTCTGGTCTCAGGGAGCCACTTTGCATCTGCCTATACTATATACCATGAGCTACTTTGGCTCAAATTTCAAATCCAAGATGGCAGTTCCACATTGAGGAAGTCATTCCTGATACGTGCTCCCAGCCTGGATTCCCAAGCAGCAGTTTTCTAAGGTTGCTGGCCTGTCCAAACTAGAAATATTTGTATATCATTGATGCCCTGACTCATTCTTCATAATCTGTCTTTTTAAGGCTTTTATCTTTCATTACTGGATGAGTGCTTTCCTACACCCAGACCTAGACCTGTACACGGGCATAAGTGGAGAGAATAGCTGCTCCTGAACCAAAGGTAGAGCAGAGACACTGAGCTCTACAGCTCTGAGGACCAAGGCAGAGGGAGAAGGCACAGCTGTAGTGGAGCTGCATGCACAGAAGGGGGTGGGAGGATGGGAATTGGAGAAAAACTGAACTTGGTTTGAAAATAAACATTGATTGAGCATTGGCTGTAAACATTGAGCATTGGCTGTAAACATTCACTGATTGGCTGTAAGCTAGGAACATCACTAGTGTCTCATTAATATTTAACACATGCAACTATTTAATATGCATCTTAAACCTCAGTCAAATTAAGTTATGATAATTTGAGAGGTAAACTCTAAGCCTCAGGTTTTTTCAGAGTAAATTGTTCATGTATATTAGCACATATTATTGGCTCATATAGTATGGTTATTTTCTGAAAGCGTGTAAAGGGAGCAGTGGTCGTTCATCAAAAATAGCAAGTGACTATAAGCTCTCCAATGAATTTTTTTCCAATACTCAGCTTCTGGGAGTTGAAATTCAGGGTGGTGAGGGTGGCCAAACTGGTAGGTATTGACCAGTGTTGTGGGAAATTTGACTTTTTACAAGTGGATTGTAAAGGTGGACTCTCCTTTGGATTTGCTTCCATGATTTTGCTATTTTACTCAATCTCGTAGCTTTGTCATCTGTCCCTCTTACATTTAAATGAGTTTCTTTAAATTATTTTTTGCTGTTTCCCAGAGGACACTTGTGGAGTTGATTTTATATTTTTGATGTCTTTCTTATCAAATTAAGCTAGAGAAAAATTGCATAAAACCTTACTCCCTCCTGAGACACACTCTTTTTATAATTAGAAAATATTACCTTTAAGAAAGTTGAACCCTTTAACTTCTAAGCAAAGTATTGACGACATAGCAGAAGATATAAAATACTGGAATTGCCACCCTGGCCAGTGTGGCCCAGTTGGTTGGGTGTCTTCCCATGCACCAAAAGACTGGTGATTCCATTCCCCATTAGGGCACCTGCCCAGGTTGCAGGTTCTATCCGAGGTGGGACCTGGAGGAAGCAGCTGATCGATGTTACCCTGTCACATTGATGTTTCTCTCCCTTTCCCTTCCTCTCCCTCTAAAAATCAATATTAAAAAAAAAAAATACTTGAATTGCCAAAGACTTTAAATATTATGCACAACAGATTGGAACGTAATGCCCAGAAATGTAGGGAATTTCTTTTAGCTCTTTTCTAAACAGAAACTAATATGAGTAGATGGGAGGCATATCGTACATATAGTGGGAAAATGAGATGGAAAATGCACCACAATATCTGTTTTTCATTTGCTCTGTCACTGACACTGATTTGTTATTCTCTACTCTTTGTTTTTAGTGGCCACAGATGTCTTTAATTCCAAAAACCTGGCCGTTCAGGCACAAAAGAAGATCTTGGGTAAAATGGTATCCAAGTCCATCGCTACCACCTTAATCGATGACACGAGCAGTGAAGTGCTGGATGAGCTGTACCGGGTGACCAGGGAGTACACCCAGAACAAGAAGGAGGCCGAGAAGATCATCAAAAACCTCATCAAAACCGTCCTCAAGCTGGCCATTCTGTACAGGAATAACCAGTTCAACCAGGATGAGCTCGCGCTGATGGAGAAGTTCAAGAAGAAAGTCCATCAGCTTGCCATGACCGTGGTCAGTTTCCATCAGGTGGACTACACCTTTGACCGGAACGTGCTGTCCAGGCTGCTGAACGAATGCAGGGAGTTGCTGCACCAGATCATTCAGCGCCACCTCACCGCCAAGTCACACGGACGGATTAATAATGTCTTTGATCACTTCTCAGATTGTGATTTCCTGGCTGCCTTGTATAATCCCTTTGGGAATTTCAAACCCCACTTAAAAAAACTTTGTGATGGCATCAACAAAATGTTGGATGAAGAGAACATATGAGCATGTGAATTAAGACGGTGACTGCTCCTGATTTACCTGAAGGTGGAGCCCTATTGATTTATGAAGGAAAGAGGTGCCTTTTGAAGAGTAAACATATTGCAGGAAGACTTTGCCCAATCCAAGTGTCAAACGTTGATGATAGTGTTTTGTGAAGCTTGTTTTAGTTGAAGAAAAGCATATTGCCAAATGTTGTTAAATGCTTCTAAGGGTTAACAGAACCTGGAAAAGATGTGTTATGCAAACGCAAATATCGAGCTACACAGAGAAAAATATGCATGGCTCCGAACCTCGAGACATCTTTTTTAAGGATTGTTGTTGTGTTGGCGGCACATTGGCTATTTCTAACATGTACAGAGTTATGTTTTGATTCACTTGTATTCCTTACTATGTACATATACCTCTTTTTAAAATCCAAAAAGTTTCCCTTGCTTTCATTCCTCCATTTGAAACCATCCCTTTTTTAACTCTACCTTTGTTGAAGATTCTTTTGCTAAATATTTTTTGTCATTGACACTCAAGAATTGTCTTTATTAAGACATTAAAGAATTAAGGTAGTCAAATTGGTACCCTCAGAGAAATAGAAAACTGCTTCTCTATTGTAGAAAACAACTGTATTTGAGGTTATTAATAATGTTTAATATCAGATATGCTTCTGTAGATGAGTCCTGCTTTTTAGTACCAACCATGACACTTCCCCAAACATGATAATTTCCCAGAACCGAATGGCATGCCATTGCCTTGAAAAGCTTGTTGAGGGCTTAACTTCCATGTTACCTTGAAAATGTGCTGATGACATCTCCATTTTTAATATTCATTTCAAATGCAAGAGACAAAGAAAAATCTAGATTGTTCTTGATATTAGGGCAATAAAAAGTACATGGTATTAAGAAAATCAAAACAATCTTTCTTTTAGAGATGAGCCCATCAAAATAATTTACGGGAATGAGAGGCAAAAGGGAAGAGAGGATGTTACTGCAGACCATGAGAATGAAAATGAATGCATTTCAATGTTTAGTAAGGTTTGGTAGATAAATAAAGAATGCCACTTTTTTATTTAACTGAAAAGGTTTTTGCTATTTTTTTATTTTATTTGATATTGTGATGAGTAAACTAGAGTATTTGCATTTTGAGCAGTTTGTATGTTGTTTCTATATGTTTTATATGGATGAATGACAAAGTAAACATTTGCTTATTTTGTAAAAAAGAAAGGAAACCTGTGGGCCAACAGTATCACCTGGGAAATAGCAGACAGCTGCCAGCACTAAACATTTGCATTGTCATCGTGTCTGTGATGTAGTGTACTCCGCCTTGAATTTGACTGCCTCCTAGAATAGTGACATTCAAATATGGTTCTCCAGGAAAGGGCCTACACTAACACTTCCAGAAATTGGGATCTGCTTTTACCCACTACCACCTAGAGAAGGTAGTCAGTTTCCCTGGGACCCTCATGTGCTTGTCTAAAACAAGCAGCAGAGGCAAAGAGTATCTCCCTGTTTGATAATAAATCCTGACATAAAGATTTAAACTTAAATTACTATCCTTAAAAAAATGATTATTGACAGATAAAAATAAATAAATAAATAAATAAATAAATAAATAAATAAGATTACTATCCTTACTTCCTAGTGCTAGTAGGTGACCCCTATATGTTATAGAAATAGCGTAGTGACTGCCAAAATGACCCCTCTAGCTTCAAATCCTGTAGAGTAGCTCATAAATTTAGTTCAGCAGCCTTCCTTGCCCAGCTCTTCTTTCCTCACATGCGAAAGCTGAGTGTGATGTGTGGGAGCTCCTGATTGGTGCATCTGTTTTCTAAGACCTCCCTCAGCAAGTGGGAAAATGGAGTGCTCAGTCAGATGGTGTGTGCTTCTTGCTCATCGCTAGATACAAACAGGACCACCAGAGAGAGAGGACCTAGGGATACATTTAGATCAGTCTGGACACATCCTATTCTAGAATTGTGCCTGCAGGCTAGCAGTGAAATTTACATGGAGGAGGTGTAGAGCCGACTCCTAATCTCACAGGGAAGAAAGGTCATGAGGACCGGAAAACTGTTATCTCTCAGCTTCATCTCTGGAAGGAACTTATCTCCTTAACAACCCTGTGCCTGGGAGTCATGCCCTAAGGATCGGTTACAAAATCTTAATCAGCAAGTTCATCTTTGATGCAACAGGACTCTTTTTGTGCATGAATTTAATTGTGGGGTGGAGTGGGTTGGTTAAAGCTAGAAAGAATCCAAATGTACTTAGGATAGCTAATTCTGAGCCAAGCAATAGTCATTTGTGGGGTCTTCTGAAAGTTTTTTAAAGATTGAGTCTTTTTATATTTTGGAAAAAACTTATGAATTGTGTTGTAATTGCTTTTTAAATTTTAGTGCTAATGGCTTCTCTGCAAAATTATGAGTTAATCTAGTAGATGTGTTATAATAATATTTTTAAAAATATATTTTTATAGATTTCAGAGAGAGAGAAACATCAATGATGAGAAAGAATCAGTTATTGGCTGCCTCTTGCATGCCTCCCAATGGGAATCGAGTCCTGACCAGGAATGAAAACATGACCTTCTGGTTCATAAGTCAATGTTCAACTACTGAGCTTAACTTCCATGTTACCGTGTTACCTTCCGTGTAACCTAGCCCCAGGACACAGTGCTCTGTGTGCACACAAACCATTTTGCCCCCAGAAAAGGTATAATGCCAATTTGCAACTTCATGAGTTTCCAGGTTTCCAATTTAGAAATATCTGAACAAGTAAGTTTAAAGATAACCTGTGTTTTTCTGATTAGTTAACCTTTCATATACAACTCAAAATTAATTTTAAAAAAGCAAATATCAGGAGCTTTAACACAGAAATAATGTATTATATGGCAGTACTTCATAATTATCTGGTAAGTTTTTCTCCCAACAAATAAATAAATACTTACAAATACATTAAGCTTAAACTTAATGATGGTTTGTTTTTTTTCCTCTGCAAGCATTAAATTTTTACTGAAAATTTAAATTTATCCTCAAAGTACTTGATGAGAGCACATTAAACTAAATTATAACTTAGCATATTAATCTTGACAGATAATAAATAAAAGATAAATGTGTCTATCCATATGATGAAATATTTGTTGTAAAAATTAAATGCTATTTAATTGCTAAGAAATTAAAATACGCTAATGAAAGTTTCTAATGAAACAAATTTAGTTAGCAAGTTAATAGGATTTATAAATATTTTTTAGCTAATCTTGCATTTCCAAACTTGTATTATCTAAATTAGTTGAACCTTTCAGTGTTTGAAAAATTACTGCTTTACTTGATATATTGTATTCCTGAGCATAAAGCTTCCATGTAATTTGTTAAGCTGAACACAGGTTTTAATGCTCAGTGCTGTTTATGATAGGTAAAATTTATTCTAGCTCTGAAATAATTTTCTTACTGTGATTCAGATAAAGTCTTTTAGAAACACCTAATGAAAACACTTAGGCACTAACCAGAAAAAAAAAAGAGTCAACTTTTTGTTTCTAAAGTGGAACAGAAAAAAGTCTTAGGGAGCTTATAATCACATATCACTAGTATGGCAAAACTATTGAAAATCCATTTTCTCTTTTATTGAGGTGTCCTCATGGCTAGTTATATAGGCCCAGAGCCAGAGAGACTTTCATTTTGGGGAATTTCCCAAAATGGAAACATTTTCCCGTAATATTGATTTATATCTGTCTAGCCAAGGATGTGTTTTCCATCCAGCAGTGAGCATGGGTCCCACATTACAGCGGACAAGTCACTCCGGATCGGCCCGTCGGCTGAGCACTGAAAAAGGATACGTACGAGCCAGCCAGCGATCACAGTTAAGAGAAAAACATCTGTGCTTTGGAAGAGGTTCTGCAGGCACAGAGAACAGTGCTGTGTCCACCAGATTTCCAGCGGGTCTTCAGGAGATGAGCCAGCCAATGCACAAGGCCCCTCCTCTGCCTGCAGGGGTGGCTGAGAAATTCCCTGTCATAACTGCATTTCTTGCCTCCTGGGCTTTGTCCTTCACACAAGAAAATCATATTTTATTTTAAGAAGTATGCGTTTTGGTTTGCAGAATGATCTAAGACACATGCTTCTCTGTACTTTAGCTTTTCCATTTAAAAGCTAACAGCCGAAACCGGTTTGGCTCAGTGGTAGAGCATCAGTCTGCGGACTGAAAGGTCCCAGGTTTGATTCCGGTCAAAGGCATGTACCTGGGTTGCGGGCACATCCCCAGTAGGGGGTGTGCAAGAGGCAGCTGATTGATGTTTCTCTCTCATCGAAGTTTCTAGCTCTCTATCTCTCTCCCTTCCTATCTGTAAAAAATCAATAAAATATATTTTTTTAAAAATAAATAAGCTTACAGATAGATTAAGTAGTTTAAAACTGCCTGATGTGAGATATAAATATAAGGCATGGAAGTGAAAACTTGGAGCATACTTACCTAGATTGTCACTATTATCTGAGGTGATCAATGTTTTATAAGAAGTCAAGGTTACATTCTCCTGGAAATGGACTCTTATCAGCCCAGCAGGAGCCACTAGGCCCCCATCTGCAGTGACTGTCAGCATCTTTTGCTGCTAAGACCAATTGTTTTCACTAAAGGAGAAATACTTGCCAAACAGACTATACATTTTTTTAAAAGGTAGGAAATGTCCTAGAAGAGGACTTGCTGATAATTAGGTAAAAGTGCCAGCGTTATTGCTGTTCCCTTGTCGCAGTGATTTTCAACCTCTTTCATCCCATGGCACACAGAATCTAATTACCAAAATTCTCCAGCACACCGAAAATGTATTTTTTTTTTGCCAATTTGAAAAAACAAACAAACAAGGTATAACTTGAATTCAGTCACACCGGATGGCTATTGTGTTGGCTGTGGTCATTTTTTGAGTGGACAATCCCAGGGAAAAGAGATCCATGCCCCTGGCTACTAGGAAACAGCCAGAGGTTGCATGGAGAAGCGCTCCGTATCTTACGGGCTTTGTGTTCCCATAACGGAGTCCCG